AATAATGGTAATGGCGGTGGTGCCACCTACCAAGCACCTGCTGGGAGCCAAGCCTGATCTAAGCCCTTTACACACATCATCTTATTTGATCCTCATCATAGTTCTTTGGGGTTGGTATTGTTGGCCCCATCTCACTCAAGGGGAAACAAAGACTTGGACAGGTTCAGTCACTTGTCCAAGGTCACACAGTTTGGGTACAGTACAGTCAAGAGTCTGACCTGGTCTCCCATGTGTCAGCTCTTTTCACTTCTCTGTGCTCTATTTCAATTTTTGCCCACATGCAGAAACATCTTCAGTTATCTCCCACCTACCCACAAAGCTGACCAAGCTGGGGCAAAACAGAGCCTTGGAGCTCCCTGGAAGAATCTGTTCTTTGGGCCCATGGCTCCCAAACATGGCCCCGGGATGCCTACCCACAAAGCTGACCAAGCTGGGGCAAAACAGAGCCTTGGAGCTCCCTGGAAGAATCTGCTCTTTGGGCCCATGGCTCCCAAACATGGCCCCGGGATGCCCCACAGCACAATTAATTACCTGGGGACCACTGAAATAAAATGCAGCTGCTTGGGCTTTGCTCCAGCCCTCCTGAAACAGAGTTTCTGGGGTGGGGCTTGGGGATACATATTTAAATCCATGCCACAGGCGAATTTGGTACAGATCAGCACTGGGGACCCACTGAACCATGCTGGCACCACTCCCTTTGTCTTACGTGCACCATCCCTGATTGGGCTGTGGCTACCTGATGCTCCTGGCAGACTTAACCATGCTCAGATTCTCATCAAAGGGTAGACATGGCCACCATCCACTCCTTTGGCCTAACAACCCACCACTGTGACCTCTCTGAGCTCTTGTGTGCCCTTGAACAAGCTAATCTACCTCTCTGGGCCAGGGAAGCAGTACTTTCATCTCCATCCCCGCCAGGAGACTCCCAAAGGGCTCCGGCTGCTCCACCAAGACCTGTGCAAAAGGTTACCTGCTCTTGGCCACTCTTCCTGACTCCCTGCACTCAGATGCTCTCTTTGGCCTCCAGGGACCCCAGCCCACTGGACTTACTCTGTCTCAGCTCTGGTACCTAAATGACATGATTTTCTTCTGGCTTCCCAGGACTTCTGCATCCCTGTGTACCCAGTGTCCAGCACAAGGTCTGGCCCAGCTTGGCACCCTCCAATTATTAGCTGAATTCATTTGAATACACTTGAAATTGAAAGCTGTCTTTTCCATGTGTTTTTAGAACCTGAGCAGATTACAAACAATTTCAGGGTGGGAAAAGACCCTTGGAGCAGTTTAGAGAGAAATGGCCTTATTTTGGGAAAGACATGGCTGCATGGTGCCCCCCAAACAGATTCTGCCCCCCCACAAAAAAGCACGTAGATAGGATTCCAAAGAAGTATACTTGCTTTTTCTTTTTTAAATAGCAAGAGAAACAAAAATGGCAACAACACGTACACAGAGTAGAGGAGATAAAGGTAGACTCATCTCCTGGAGATACAGAAAAAGAGATAATGAAGAGAGAATGACACCCTGGTGCCAAAGCCAGACAAAAACACTACAAGAAAAGAAAACTACATATCAATATCTCTTGTGAACAATGATGCAAAATCATCAACAAAATAATAGCAAACCAAATTTAGCAGCATATTAAAAGTATTATACACCATGACCAAGTGGGATTTTATTCCTGTGATGCAAGGACAGTTTAACAGATGAAAATTGCTCAGTGTAATACACTATGTTAACAGAATGAAGGAAAAAAAAACATGATCATCTCAGTTGATGCAGAAAAAGTATTTGACAGGGGCCAGCCCGTGGCTCACTAGGGAGAATGTGGTGCTGATAACACCAAGGACACAGGGTTCCAGTCCCTATATAGGGATGGCTGGTTAGCTCAATTGGGAGAGTGTGCTGACAACACCAAGTCAAGGGTTAAGATTCCCTTCCCGGTCATCTTTAAAAAAAAAAAAAAAGCATTTGACAAAATCCAACACTCTTTCCTGATAAAAATACTCAACAAACTAGGAGTAGAAGGAAACTACCTCAAAATAACAGAAGCCATATATGAAAAAACCCATAGCAGACATCATACTTAATGGTAAAAGACTAAAATCTTTTCCTCTAAGATCAGGAACAAGGCAAAGATGCCTACTTTTGCCACTTCTATTCAACATAGAACTAAAAATTCCAGCCAGAGCAATTAGGTAAGAAAAATAAATAAAAGGCATCAAAATAGAAAATGAAGAAGTAAAATTATCTCTGCTCACAGATGACATAAGATTGTAAGTAGAAAACCCTAAAGATTCCACACGCAAAAAACCTGTTAGAACTAATGAATAAATTCAGCAGAATACAAAGTCAACACACAAAAATCAGTTGTGTTTCTATACACTAACAATGAATAATCAAAAAAGGAAATGAAGAAAACAATTCAATTTGCAATAGCATCAAAAAGAATAAAATCCTTAGGAATTAACTTAACCAAGGAGGTAAAAAACTTGTACAACAAAAACTACAAAACATTTCTGAAAGAAATTAAAGAATACATAAATAAATAGAAAGACATCCAATGTCTTGATTAGACATTCATTGATTGGAAGACTTAATACTGTCAAGATGTCAATACTATCTAAAGTTATCTACAGATTTAATAATCCCTATCAAACTCCAATAATGTTTTTTGAACAATAGAAAAACCTCTCTAAA